CCGCAGAGGTACCTTATATCTTTTAATTTTCGCATTTTATTTTCTGTATTTATTTATTTATTAGCATCTAAAAAAGATCTAAAAATTCGAAAACACCAAAAATATTTATTCCACTCTCATACGTGTCCTAGGAATGTTTAGTTTCTCCTAAGTTGAAATGATGAATAGTTGCTCTGTCTATAATTCATCTATGTCTAGGTTATAACCTAGTATTCCCTAAGATTTAAGTTTGTTGTCTAAAAATGTCTCATCCTAAAAACTTAAAAACTTGTGGGTTGCAAATGTATGCTCGTTTTCTAAATTGTTGCGAGTTATGATATGGTACAAATAGAATTTGCTATGACTTTGTTCTAAGAGAGACTTGACATCATGAGATTTCATTTTCAAAATGCTAAAATCAAAGTTCCTCAATGATCATGAATACCTACCAAGGCTATATGACATTATATACATTCAAAACCTTAGTCATATGCTACTTATTATTATATTGAGCTTTGTTAAATTGTTGTGACCCTTGTTGAGATTCTCATCATACACCCATAATCAAGACACATGTACTCCCACAAATAAACTGCTAACTCTTACACTGAGAGTTACGTAAAAACATGCTTTTTCGGTCCACCAAATAAATTACTCCATTCATTTATCATGTGTCTCTCAAAAATTTCCATATGCCAGAAAAGAATAGTATGGGCTATGCTAAAAGAAGAAAAAAAAGAGAGAAGAATATCCATGCCAAAAGGCATGAGAGAAAAAAATGCATGCCGAAGAGCATGAAGAAAAGAAAAGAAAGAAATAAAGATAGCCCATACTTTCAAATAAAAGGCATTTATCCAAAAAAGAGAGATTTATGATTCAAAGGAGTACCAAAAATATTTAGAATTAGGACTTTACGAAAAATTCCACACACTTGGACGTCTTGATCAAAGTTTATGACTTGCATCTCTTTGAGGTCTGGTTTTTGACTTAGCGCAATATGTGATGCAAGTATGCCCCAATTTCGTACCTACCCAAAACTCCACTCAAAAATCCTTTAGTGGTAGGATATGAAAAAGAAGGCAAAATACCAAATGCCTTTGGTGAGGTGCTACACACTTTGAGCGATCGAGAGGATCATTCGACGAACATACTTTTATTTTGCAAAATTCATAAAACCTCCAGATAGAAGGTTAATCAAAGAATGAATGATTGGTGATTCTGTTATAACTGTTCTATCTTGCAACCGCCTAAGAACTTGGAAAAGCTACACGCCCCATAGGGATCAAGGTAAAAGGGTGTATTAAATGCCAACTTATTTAAATTACAAAAGAATATTTTGTTATAAATATGACACTTGTGAATTATATCGTTATAATAGCAACTCCGGATCAACAACCAAGTACTTAGCTATTTGCTCAGGATGAGCAAAGGTTAAAGCTTGGGGATTTGTTGGTGGTCACTATCGACATAATCCAACCACCAATTCAAGTCCAAAACAGGAGAAATAAACATACTTTTGACACATATGCATGTATTATTGACCTAGTTCCACTTGTATTGAAGAAAACATGTTTTGCAGGACACACATTCGAATACAAGTGGAAAACCAATCAAAATACACAAACAAGAAAGCGTAACGCATAATCTATACCAAAGTACCAAGCAAAGGCCCACTACAACGAAGAATTTGGGCTGAGCACCGACGTGGCAGTGGTCCAGGCCCACCTAGGAACCGACCAGGCGAAGGCGGCTGCACCCCAGTTGCCGCCTCTCAGGCCCACACTCCTCTGGCGGTTGCATGCCGCCATGCATAGGCGGTTCCTGGGTGTTTCCTTATTTTTCTGCGCCAAACCGACCAAGCCACTAGTATAAGAAGAGGGCTAGAGCACATTCTCAAAACACATAATCATTTAGAGCTACACCTCACTACCACATCTTGTACTTTTACTTTCTTAGTAGTATTTGGAGCTAGCAAGAGCTACTTGTGGAGCTTGTCCCCTTCGACGAAGAGTGATATCTTGGTATGAATAATACTATGAAGAGTTCTTCCATAGTGATGCTCGCATATCATTTATATAGTATTGCATATGAACTAGAGTATAGTTGTCTTGTTATAATCATGATATATGAACTAGCATATAGTTTGTGTGTTATGATCTTAACATGTCCAACTTTATGCTTAAACATTCATATGACTTGTATGGGTAGAAGTAGAGCTAGGGTTGAGGTGATGGTTCATCGTTCCTTTGGGTTTGCCCATATTCTTGCTTGTCGATCCGTAGGGTCGGAGTCCCAGGGGGATATGGGTAGTTTCCTTGTACACAGGCGTGGTGCTCGGGTGCACGGGAACCTTCGGATATGACGGTGCCCCACGATTGAGGGGTAGGCGGTAGGTCATGACAGCCATGTCCATCCCTTATAATCCCCCATGTTTGGGTATTGTGTAGGAGTCTTAAAGTCTCCCATGCGCTGGCAGACCAGTTCCCGGAGATCTCCCCATCCATCTTAAACTTAGTCCTAACTCTAACCATGTATTTTGTATGATCATCAACTGTTTTTTGCAAGGCTATATTAGAATATGCCTGCTCCACTTAGGAACATTCTTTTATTCTTTATTTTTCTTTTATCCTTGAGGTTGGCCCAGATGTGTGTCCACTATCCTTGATATACTGTTTTTACCCTTGTCATGAACTATGGTCCACTATGCAAGCATGTAATCTTATTCATATCCATGCTAGACTCTTTATATCTTGCCCTCCTTTGGGAAAATATAAATAACGATACCCTGAATACTTCCTGGTGAAATTCTACAACGATAGATCCGTACGCTTTTCGGATAACTTCTGTAATCATTAAGGACTATCGTAGTTGGTGTTTCTTGACGGTGTTGCTAAGGTTTACACAATCTCAGTAATGGTGTTAAGAAATGCCAACAAGCATCTCTGGCGCCGTTGTTGGGTATGGAGTTAAAACCTCCACACTTGGCGCTTGCGCTGAGAAATTCCAACAGTAGCCGCCCCCGAGTCATCGATCGCCCTATTGGCTTGAGGAGCTGAGAGCCATGATCCGATCGTTGGGGTTGTGGCTCCCATTGGTCTGCGTGGCCTCTAAGTCAAGGCCTCCATCGTGGATCGCATCCCATAGTGGGTAGAATTGTACATGCATCTTGTTGGTCCGTATTTGGATGGTTGGTCGCCGTACTGATAGCTACCGCCATGCAGTGTAGTCTTGTACGTGCTGCGTGGCGTAGGGATGGTGTCTAACCAGACCGAGGCGATCACAGTCCCCTCGGTCCTTGCGGGGTCAGTGCGACATGCCTACTCTTGTTAGAGCAGGCACATTTGGCTATGCTTGACCTCTCCCCGTTCCTCTCAAGGGTCGAGATGGCGGAGAGGTCATGAGTCTTTTGCGCGTCATGCGGCTAAGGCAGAAGGAGGGGTCGTGGCCGACCCTAGCCTTGGCGCCAGGCTTGTTCTGCTTGTCTTAGCTGGGCCTCGGTCGTTCGGGCCTTTGCTAGCTGATGTGTCGTGGGCCGCTCAGTCTGCTAATTAATCGGTGCCTTGAGACACCCGGGGATTATAACCCCGACAGGAGGACTTTTGGAGGCACTCGTTACTTGAGTGCAACATGGCATGCTGTGTTTTGGCTCTAGAGAAAGAGGAGATTACTGAGCACCTTTCTCAAATTGAGGAACAAGATGCAAAGGGATGGCTAGCAGTGATGATGAAGTCTTTGCGACATGAGGAACTGGTCCGGGTGACTTTTACCTTGTATGCAAGGAGGAAAGCTGTTGATGAAAATATCTATCAAAGCCCGCTCTCGACACACCAGTTTGTTTCTAATTTTGTGGAAAACCTTGAGCTCGTGAAGCCTCAAGTGGGAGGGCACGGCTCGAAGAACATGGAAGCCCAACTCGGTGGATCCCCACACCGATCGGTCTGATGAAGATAAATGTCGACACTGCTTTGCCCAAGAATTCAGGAGTCATCGCAGCAACTGCGGTAGCAAGAGACGCTGCGGGAAAGTTCCTAGGTCCCTCAACCGTGGTGATGGAAAGGCCGCATGGAACCTGACACGGTGGAAGCAATTGCATGCAAAGAAGGCCTAGTGCTTGCTAGTGATCTGGTCCTTCGTGATTTTAGACTATCGTGTGATAATGCATGAGTCATTGGACCCCCTGAATCCCATGGAGAGCGTGCATGACTCTATGAAGACCGTCAAGCTACCCTTAGAGCAATTCTACTTTGTACAAGTGCACGCTATCCTTGGAGCAAGCGGTTATCGCCTCTCCTCCCCGTCTTCATGTTTCTCAGCAAGACGACTCTCCGATCGTCCCTCGCTGAAGTTGTAGACTTGCGGCAAGAGCAAGTTTCAATCATCTAAACCACAGGTCCAGACACATAATGTGCTGATGAAGAAGTGTGGCATGTCGGCAGAGACTCAGGTGGCAGACAACGCTTCGTTTGCCGAGTTCTAGGAGACTTTCGCATCGCCACTCTCGCCGCTGCTGGTGGGGCAAGGCAGGGTCTGAGGCGTAGGTCATGTGAGTTCATGCTCCAGGGTGGGGTCGTGGTTGCAAGTCTTGCTTTTATTGTAGTTGATCCTTGTGTTTGAGCCGTCATGGAAAAAAAATGGAAGTCATGTTTTATCTAATACATAGAGAGATGATTAGGCAGATGTCAAAGCATTTAGACTTATGTCCTGTTCTCATAACGTGACTTTATTGTTCATATTACAGAAACAACAATAATAAAGTTACATATGTGTATACAGTATAATATTCAGAGTGCTGAACCACATTTCTACTTTGGCTATATATTCATTCGTGAGTGTAGAGGCCGGATTAATTGTGATTCCATTATTATCTAAAAGCGTATGACAATTCTACTTAAGATTTACCCACGATAAAGGTATGTATTTTGTGTGCATGCTTTATTCTTTATTAGTCTTTTTATTATATATTTTATATATGCATGCCATAATGTATGTCTATAATTGTGTGTTCATTATTTTCTCCTAGTTCATGCAACGGGATAGGAGGCGTCCTTGGCGACACCACAGGCGCCGACGCCCCTCTGAAGCCTTAGGTACCCTTCCTCTCCCCAGGTGCTCCCCCACTGGTTCTTGAGCAGCCAGTACTGGGTGCCATCCTCCGCCGTGCCGTACCCAACCGCCGTCACCGCATGGTTCAAGTTGGTGCCACAGCTGTCCGCGGTCATGACGCCGCCTCCGTAGAACTGGAACTTACTGGAGTCGACGGCCACGGACACGGGCTGGCCGGCGACAGCCGCGGCGAGCGCGTCCTCGGCGTCTCTGGGCACTTGCTGGTAGCTGCTGACGGCGACGAACGGCTGGACGTTCTGGCACATGCCCTGCGTGGCGGTGTATGGGTAGGCGGCCTCGGTGGCAATGCCGCCGTTGCTGCCGATGACGTACTGGAAGGCGTACTCCATGGTGCCGCCGCCGCAGCCGTTGTTCTTCCCGTTGGTGGAGCAGTCCAGCAGTTGCTGCTCTGACAGTGATACCAGCTCGCCGGTCTTGATCTGGTGCATGCCCTCGATGGCCGCCACCGCCGAGAACGCCCAGCAACAACCTATGACATGAGTAATGCAGTATGTTTCACATGTGTTCAGAACAGTTTACTAGTAGTTAATAAATATGTACATATGACAGTTGACAGACATGTGTGTACAATTTCCTTATTTTGTGCTTACCGCATTGTTCTTGGTTCTTGACATCGGTGACTGCACCTTTCTTCCTCCAGTCAACCGCCTGCTGGTCATCTGACAGTGTAACATTCTCGTATTTAAAACCGGGCATCTTCTTGCCCGTGGCCGGCACGGGCTTGAACCCAGTGTACCTCGCCATGAACTCGTCGTGAGTCATGTCGGCAAACCCGTTGATGGCCAGGTGATACTTCTTCCCACCTGCGGCGGCATTGGAGGTGTCAACAAAGGCGACGTTCGCCTTGAATACCTTGAACCGACGTGCCTTCTCCGCCTCGTCCTTGTAGGTTCGGCCGTGCTCCGCCATCCACTTCTCGTGCCTCGCCGTCATAGCCTCCTCGCCATAGCCGCTGCTGGACAGATCCCTGGCAGCAACTGCACTGCAGATGAAGTTGGCAATGGCTAGGACTGCGAGCAGCGCTAGTGCCGCCGTGATCAGAGGCTTGTTGGCAATGTAGGACGCCATGCTAGCTGCTGTTGTGCCGAGCTGCTGATTGTGTACGGATATGATGTGTGTGAGAATGAAGGTCGGTAGCTGGATGGTGTGTGTTCTTGCCTTCTTGGTCTGAGTCCTTTAAGCAGAATGCCAGGTGGTTTATATAGAGGCCAGCCTAGTGCAACGAGTCAAGAAAAGGCTCGATCTCCCTAGATTGCAGGACGGGTTACGTTCTTCATTCGATGCCCAGGTCATTAGGATGCATGCATGTCCTAGATTATATGTCAGGTTAATGTTAGGCCAGTCAAGAGTCGTCGTCGTCAGTACATCAAGCTGGAAGAGCAATCACTCGCGAATGCAACATTTTTCCTTCTAAAAGCTAGCACTGTGCCACAACAAATGTATCTTTTTTTCTTGATAAAGGAATCTTTTATTAAATTCTCAAAGCAATACCTCGAGATGATACATGACCTAGAAAACGTATCTCTGACATTTGCCTAACAAGGGCCTCACAACCACAAGGCTAAAAGGACCGGCACATTCTAGTGACTAGCAATTCACAGACTAGATCGCCACCTATTTGCCTAGGAGAAAATATCACCTATGCTAACTATTGCGACGCCACCACAATCAAGTCTTTAGAAGCTATCTTCTATAGAGTAGACAAAGTACGTAGCTAGTGGATAACTGAATAGATAACCTGCATAGAGCAACATGTTTCTTCTTTTCATTCAAAGAATATCATTTTGCAAAGCTAAAGTGGCCAACAAGTAACGGTCACTCCTAACAGTTTAATTGTTTACTAAATCCTCCTACCTAGTATAGTTAGTCTGCTAAGCTAGGGATGCTACTGGTGTGAACAATTAATTGATCCTAGATGATCATAAAATGTAAAAATGTTGTTAGGGTTCACTATGGGAGAGAAGCGGGAGTGGCTCGGATCCACCTGTCATTAGGCGCAAGAGCCGATGTATAATCATCTATGTTGTTATTTTTAATTAATAATGATGTAACGAGCTATTGAATAATTTTTGAATTGTTTGATTTTGATGTTGAAAGAATATGAATGCCTACGTTAATTTTTAATGACCTAGAAATATGTTTCCTAGGTCTTGATGCATGTATATGGGTATTTGTGTTCACAAAATTTTATTCACAATATGTTTCGATGCATACATAATTAATTAAATTTTTTATGTTTTCCACAAAAACCGCTAAATGAAATAGCTTCCTCTATGTCCCGCTATAGCATTTTGTACCTTCTGGAGGATGCTTCCGCTAAATGTCATAGTCCGCGATTTAGAACCTTGAATTTAACTAAGTTCATATATAGAAAAGAGTGTCAAGATTTATATAAAATCAAATTACTATTATTAGATACATCAGATACTATACTTTTGTAATAATGTTCTCGTGTGGTGTCATAACCGTTTGTGCTCTTTTATATAAATCTAGTGAAATATAAAAAGATTTAATTTAAGATAATTCTAGGAACTAATTTATTCAGAGATGGAGAGAGGGAGAGTTTTGTACTACTGCCTTATTTAAAGTGTGTGATGTGTGAAACCCAAGTCCAAAACAATTCCATTATTTTCATTCTGTCAAAAAAATTCCATTATTTCATAAAAAAGAAGCTGCTGTCTGTTCCTTCCGTGCGCGTCATGCTGTGTTGACTGTTGACTTCGTACATGACCAGATTGAGTGGAGACTTCTACTTCGGAGTGCGTGCATTGATTAGCTGATGACTGAGTCTTGGATCTTCGCACACGGCAACGTCAATATTTATTAGGACTAAACTTCCTCGCCATACATATTCCGTACGTATAAGACGACATTGAATCATAATTTTCATTTTTTTTCTGGATTTTGAAATCCCTTGAACACACATTATTTTACTTACTATTTAATTTATCCTTCCATGCATACTATCTCTAATACGCTTCGTTTACATTGTTTGATTTATTTTCCAAATATTCCTAAAAAGTGTTTACTGAAAAGACTAGGGGAATGTATTTGGAAACACAATAATAATCTTGTGTTTCTTAGGTTTGCTGGTTGGTCGATTTTTGACAAAAAAAAAAAAACGAATGAAAGACCATGCCACTTTTCCAAAAAGGTCTAGCTTTGCAGAAATCTAACAACTTGGAATAGCGAGAGTATATATATTTTTAGATTTATATCCAGGCAATTATTTTGGAAAAATACGAATTATAAAAGATATATAATAAATAAACTACAATTCACTAGCAGTTTATACTACGGTAGTTCGAAAATGCTGCTGTCGACACGAGCGCGTGATGACCCTACACTGATGGGCCCATTCCGTCTGTTTCCATGTGGGCTCAATCTTGGGTTTACCACACATGCAGTGCACGTTTTTCTCCAAAAATAGTAATAATAATAAAAAAAACATGCAGTGCTGGTGAACCTTAGATCAAAATTTAAAACTCGCTCGCGGGCTACTAATGCGCTGAAACCTTTGATTGGGCCAAATTCGGCCCAAGGCTCAGGGTGAAAGGGTCAAGGCTTCGGCGGTGCCACGAACGTGCGCACTTTTGGTGGCGAGCCCGAGCTATTAAAAAAACGATAATGCTTTCACGGGTATCCCTCCATCCGGCTGCCGTACGCCACACCACGGCTCGCCGTTTCCACCCGCGCTGCTCACTCCCGCTTGCCACGCATGCCTCGCCCGCGACACTTGCTCCCTCCTGTTGCTCGCCCCGCCCATCGCGTGCCCGGCCCGACTGCCGCAGCCATTCCTCGCCGCACCCCCATCCTGCGCGCGTTGCCTTTGCTCTCCCCATCTCTCACTCTCTATCTCGCGTGTCTGCTGATAGTAGAGCGCCTCCCTGGACTCTTCCCCAACCCCCAACGCCACCAGGATGCCTTGCCGCAACCACCACTGTTGATGACCGCTGGGCGCATGTGCCGGGGCGCCTCGGGTCATCCCCGGCCGAGCCAAGGGCACCCACGAGCGCAGACGGATGGTAGTGGTGCACGTGCCACCGGCTCCCACCCCGATGTCCGAATTGATCGGCCCAGGCCTTCCTCCTCTATTTTGAAAATCTATGTTTTAAGTGTTTCAAACGGTTCGGAGGCATGTTGCAATTATTTCATATGGATGTTGCAATAGTAGATCAGGGATGTTGTATATGTTGCAATTGTTTTAAATACATGTTGCAAGCGCTTGTTCAAAATGTTTCATTTGTCTAGACGTACGTTGAAAGCGTTTTGATCTGGATGTTGCATATGTTTCACGTATATGTTGCAACAAGATGTTATGAATGTTTCATCTGTAGTTTTATGTTGCAGCAAAAGTTTTCATGTTGTAAGTTACAAATGTTTTATCTGGATGTTGCATATATTTCACACATATGTTGCAAGTGTACGTGGCCGGTGGTCGGGGCGTGACCGGGTAGGGCGAACAGGTAGACTCATGGCGTGGGTCGAATCGAGGCAGACAGGACGGGCTGCGCGTGCGAGACGAGTTGCCTGGACGCGCGGGCATAGCAACGGGCCAAGATGCGCGTGCGGGACGGGACGGGACGAGTTAGCGGACGTACGGGTCCAGGCGCTAGCCATACCGGTAAAAAAAGCAGCGGTGCTTTGGTGCTGTGGATTTGGATCGCAATGTGGATGCGTCGGCTTGACGCCCCTGCTGCACAGCGGGCTGGCAGAGCTCTATGCCCTGGTCGTGCAGCGAGCCGGCATGGTTACGCGGACAGAACGAGCCATGTGCCCATGTATGCATGCTTTGTGACCGGACAGGCGGGTCGCCGTGCGACGCGAAGCGCGCGCGCATCATGCTCGTGCCTGATGGTGACAGGCGGGGTTTGTTGCGCTCGCATGTACCAGTCTGCAGTGGAGGGAGGGAAGGCAGCAAATCCGTGTTCTTGTGCAAGTGCCTCGCACCTCACGTGTATCATGAAATCGAACCATGGGAGGGAAAAACACAAACCAGCCATGCACATTGTAGCCATTGAACTGTATGTGTGATACTTAAAATTGCATGTTACAGAACCATTGCAGCATGTTACAGAACCGTATGTGTCATCGCTACCGTTTTTTTTTTTGCTTGCCAGCAGTGATAGACTGTACAAAAAAACATCATAACTTTATCATATGATGTCTGATGAAGACGAACTTCATATAAAGTTGTAGCACTCGACGATATCTACAACTTTGTAGTTTTAACTTTTTTGATATGAAATCGTCTTGATACCGAAACATCCATCATAAGATTTAATAGAGTTCATACCAAAAGAACCTACCTACTCTTTAGTCACAAGTGAGTGTGTAATGGTAGGGAATGATTTCGGATGGAGAATCAACCAAAACAAAAATTTTAGAGTGATGAAACTTTGTAGTTCATTTTTTTATTTGAAGTTGTTTTGATGATGTAATATTTGATTTACAAGATCTTCTTCGGTATCTTGATCCTTTCAGCCAGCCACACCATCTATTTATAGCCCCAAGCAACAATCCAACCGTTACCCGTTTTTACTACTATCTAGAAAAATAGGGCGGTGACGAGCACCGAACAGCCGGTCCTGTGAACTCTAGGCGCGAAAACCATGTTTTCCTCCCTCTCTGGAATAAAGCGGCGGTGCCCTTGTCCGACACACCAGACAGTTGGTCCGGTGCACACCGGACGACAAGGTGCCAGCTGCTTTCGGCGCGTAAGTCTCAGGTGCTTGGGCGACCCTGTCCAGACCCACCGGACAGCTGGTCCGGTGCCATCCAGGAGGCAGCACCGAGAAGCCCAAAACCTCCTATGCAAGCGATGCTAACTCTCAATTTTCACAAACATATTTAAGGCGAAGTTAGCATTTCCAAAGTGTTTTTCATAAACGTTTTCGCTTGCTCTCCGTTGTGCACTAGACCTAAATCTATATGCATAGAAGTTCAACACCTAGTGGCACTAGATGACCGAATTGTCCGATAAGAGCTCCCCTCTTAATAGTGCGACCATCTATCCTAAATCTGATTATGCACTCTATTGCGTTTTGACCGGCAAAACAAAATCGCTA